CTGCGTATTTACAAATTTCTGTAAATCTCCTATACATGCAATGCAGCGTCTCGGACAAGTACATTATGTTTTCACTATGTAAGTCTATGTTCTCAACGCTTCGCGTTTCGGTGAATATCCTTGCACTATTTACCTCCACTTCAGTGAATGTTAATTATTCTTCGTTTGCACAAATGCATGCAGATACCATTATGGCGCCATCTTAGTTTATTTTGAAGTTCACTTCATACAGCAGTTATAGAGTTGTAACGTAGTTTAGTTAATTACCATTTTCTGGATATTTTCCAAATCATTTCAATGTCTTATGAGCAGTTTTGGCGTTATGTTTCTCGCTCAAATTTAGCCTGCGGGGTTGGGGGGAAGGAAGCACCTGCAGTCGCTTCTTAGGGAGTGGTCATTATTTATGGGGAGGGGGGTTGGGAAATGGGAGGGTGGGGGGAAAACGAAGTTTTACCCTTATAAAAAGTTTTAACACAGAGAAAGGGGGGTCATAAAAGTTTTTGAACTTAAATACCATGTCTAGAGTTCTGATTTCTATAATCACAAATAGCAAAAAAGAAGACTCTGAAAATGCTATTTCCAACGATCTAGTCATCTAGAGACTCAAAAGTTTCAAAATTTCCCTGCTTGGCGCCAACCATGGTAGCGCTTCGCGATCGTGGGAGTCGGGCCCACTAAGTTAAACAAGCTTTCTACCCTCTGAGTGACCCAGTTGTGGTATTTACATAAACATACCATCGGTCTATCAACGCACAATGTAACGCTGTATATCCAAAAATCTGTTTCAGAAAATGCTCACATTTCAGTTCTAGGGGTGGAAAAATATAAAAAATTTTCTGGGGGAGAATACCCCCAGACCCCCCCCCCTACTAGTACATACGATACCACACCAAACTTTTTGGCACCAACAACCATCTGTCATCTTTTCACACTCAATATAGTATGGTCCCTTTTTGTAGATGCCCACCCCCAGACAAGTTCTTAAAAAAACCTGTGTTCAAATCATTTCGCTGTATGAAGACGGGTCATGGGTTAGGGTTATGGTAGGACAAATGTTGCATTGCAAAGTAGTAACACATAATATATATTTTTTGATCATATATGGTTGAATCATATTCACCAGGATAAAACATCATGAGCTAGATTAAACAGATCGTCCTAATATCTAACTTTACCTGCAACGCACACCTGTTTCATTGCTGTTAATTTTTCAATCCACACTGGGGGAGGGGTCAGAAAAGTTTCTACTTTTATGAGGGGAAGGCACAAAAAGTTTGCCTTCAGTTTGGAGGGGGGGGGGGGTGGTCAAAAAAGTTTTCAATCCTTATTTTCCCCATTTCCCAACCCACCCATAAATAATGACCACTCCCTTATTCATTTTCGAGTTTTGCGTTCGTTCGCCCGCGAACGCTAGCTTTTCATTGGCTATAGCTTTAATGACACGTCAATCAACAGTAATACATCAATATTCAAAACGGCCAGCAACGACGAGGTGTTCGAGGAGTGTTTAGCACTTTGGAGCATGTACTAAATATTCTAGAAGTACACATGCAGATATTTAATATAACAATATCCTGATAACTCATTCCACTGTGTCTGTGAAATAGTATATATGTTAATTAGACGTCCTATACATTCTAGAATTTCTGCACCGAATAAGTGTTAATGTTCAGTAAAGCAATAGCGTTGATTCCTCGCTCATTTTCATTATCTTTCAAATTTTCCAAGTTGCAAGCGCTCCTCAATATGTTTGAGAATACAGAGAGTTGATCATGTTTGTTGTATTTTAAACAACTGTTCGACGTACAGAAGGCTTAAGTGTGCATTTCCGGTTAACTTCTCCCTCGGCTAAAGCATTGATTATAGTTCCCTCGAGAGGTGACTCATGGCGAAAAACTATATTTGCTACTGGCTACCACCGAGATAAACAAATGTATCTAACTACATAACAGTCGTATTTTTGTCAAAATTGCTTTTAACAATAACTCTGATGTTTGCTATCCCTGTATATATTTATTGAAATCGAAGCCTAACGCAAGCTAGCTTACACGTGAGTGATTGACATTTCGCTGGAAGTAAATAACAAAATTCTGCTCTGATATGATTGGTCAATCTATATAGAGCGTATTTGAATTTATTATAAGGCACGACACGAAAATTTATTAGAAGCAACTGCAGGCTCTTCCCTCCCCTAACCAGAGCCTGCCTCAGGCTAGCTCAAATTGAGTGCTTTGTGCAAGATCAATCAAGATGGTGTCGAGTTACGAATATTGCACGCTGAAATATATCGATACTCATGACTTCTAGATAAAATAAAGGTATATTCAGTCGTGATGGCTACTCTCCTTGAATTGGATAATTATGTTTTTCATAAGCTTGTGACTATTTATACAATCGCTGAAAGTATAAGTTGTTGATTTGAAAGGAATTAAGAATCTCATATATTTTGTATATTTTCATTTTTTATCTTCACTTGCTACTTCAATCTCAGAGACTCGTTGTATGGCAGCTATACATTGATTTTTCGAAACCTCTCCAAAAACAAATTTACGATTAAAGCTCCGTTCTCATAAATATATATTTTATGAAATGCATTTGAAAAGCACGCGTCGATATTATCAAATAATTGTTTATAGCTTGACTCTTTGAAGTCAAAATATTGTATAATTTTTAATTAAACTTTACCTGTAGACGTGTAGTTGTTTCTTTTGGAACTCAAGAACAACTATTTCGTATAATGCTTTCTCACTATTAAATAGTAATCAGTTACAAGAACTCTCCTCAAAAAAGATCATTATATAGGAAAAGTATATACGGTTGAAATTCATGCAGATATAAATATTACATTCCCTATATCAATATATTGAGGGTCATGCAGATTGTCCAAATTTATTTGCAGAATACAATATATAGTCATGCATATATAGTTATTTTCAATAGATTAATTTCAATAGTACTGCTTCTTCCTTCCTAGTTTATTTTATTTTATTTTATTTTATTTTTGTTAGGCTAAAAACTATTAAAAATATATAATATATCCATGCAAAATCCCTGTTAAGTTATAGGATCTGTATTATGTCAGATTAATTTCAATAGTACTGCTTCTTCCTTCCTATTTTATTTTATTTTATTTTTGTTAGGCTAAAAACTATCAAAAAATATAATATATCCATGCAAAATCCCTGTTAAATTATAGGACTGATCTGTAGAAGTTGTCAGGAAAACCTAAATATTAACTTGAAATATTAACATTTGCTATTAACCGTTTCTCAAATTCTCAATTAGTTATTCATACAGAAAAGCTGTACTCTATGGACTAATATATACGGCTGTATCTATAATTGCTGGGTAAACGCCGTTACTTTAATTGCGTCTTTATGCAATCAGTGACGAGACATTAATTGAAGTGTTTGACGCGTCAAGTCGTATACGTACGCTGTATATATTAATCGCTCTTGACATTAATTCTTGGCAAAAAAAATTTTTCTTTAAAACTTTGTTATTTGACTGTTTGCAGATGATCAGAAAATACGACAATTTAGCTGACTTGAAAAATAATCTCAAATATTGACACCTATATAATAAGGTCAAATCTCACTGTACATTGTGCGTATTTTAGGCCTAATTAAGCTTCCTGAATCTAACCCGAATGTTCCACGGATACTAAGAAAGTATAATATATGGTTTTCATATTTCCTGTGTTAATATATATATATATATATATATATATATATATATATATATATATATATATATATATATATATATATATATATATATATATATATATATATAAACGCATAAACGAACGGTAAAATAACTAAATTCAAGTACAAGAAGTGCATATATTAATAACAAGTCAAATGAATCTTTTCAAACCACTTGCAAATTTTTACTAAAATCTCGATTATAGGAAGAAGACTGTTTCTCCACAGTAGGGTTCATAGATCTAAATTCGCGCGTTTAAATTTTCGTACTGTCCCGCGTAACTTTAAATTACGCCATTTTCATCCTTCCGTTCAGTTCCTTCCTATACCAAAAATAAACGTTTTCCCGCCTCTTACAAAACAAATCGGGGGACCTCGGAGGAATTAATACTGCCCGGCCAAGCTGTACACCTGTATATGTTTTGCTTCATTCATGCAGCGTATGTTTCGTACCGAAACTTTACGACAGTATATATATATATATATATATATATATATATATATATATATATATATATATATATATATATATATATATATATATATATATATATATATATATGTATATGTATATGTATATGTATATATATATACATATACATACATACACACATACACACATACATACATACATACATACATACATTATGGGCCTCATCAGTGTTGTGCTGATGAGCAGGATGAAAGTAACTGCTATTTACAGTTACCTTTGATGCCTCACGGTTGTGGGACATCAAAACCATTCCAGAGCGCTCAAACTGCAAGCAGTGAGCGTGCGCAATGCGTAAGCGGCATGGCTCATCCTATATGTTTCGTTCTATAAAAAGTCGTGATATTAACCCAAACGCAAAAAAATAAAACAGGAATAATAATAAAAGTATTTTTGGCATTCAAAAACACAGTTAATTATAATTTCACAAACATATGTGCAATCTTGCTTATCAATTCTTTCCACTCTGCTTCATGCTTGGCAAAACATACAAACAATCAGTTTTACAGTTAGTATAGTAGTCTATTCTTCCTATAATGTCGATAAAGAACGGGAATCGATTACAAGTAATGTGCAAAGCATTATGAACTTTGATATATAGCTTAACTGCTTATATAAGTTCTTTTCTTAGTAGAGTTGCATTAAAAATCAACTTTATGTATGAAGTATTAAAACTTAAATTAGAGAGTAAATGGGTAAGTGCTTAAAGTGGTAATATATGCGCGTAATATTCCTAGTCCATTCTGATCAACTTTGATTAAATCTATCACTAGCACGATTTTGACTTGTGTTGAAAACATAATATGAAGTATAAATATGAGTTTAAAGAAATTAAGAGAAAATCCAACGTAAAATTTATTGGGGTAAATGCATGGGTAAGTGGGAATACACGGACATAATATTGCTGTTAATCGATCACTTTGGATCAAAGTCTGTTAGGATTGTAATTGGAATTGCCACATTGTTCTTCCGTACTTAAATGGCGCCAAGCATGCGCTCTTGTTTTAATTCATAAGCGTGTAGGAAGAAAGGAAACAGTTCTACGGAGGCACGCGATACTTTGTGTGATTTGCAATCAAGAAACACAAGAGGGAACAAAGTGACTGTCTATCTTGTCATCTATTATCGCTAATCATTTGCGCTAGTGTGAGAAAGTTGCAAGTGCTATGGCGTTATCAGCTGTTTCATCTGGGACGTTTCATTACTAAAAACAAAAGTTTCGACTTTATATTTGCCTAGAATCATCTTGAAATATCATTTTGTAACATCTCATCAATCAGTTCAAAGGAATTGAAGGAGAAGGAAGAGATCGAGTTCAAGTTACTAAGGGCCAAGGTAAAACATACATATGAAATTTGATGCTCTTTTGTTATATCGGTATAGTCTAACGATGTGTGACCATTTTATCAATAAAACGTTAGTGAGGACAACATTTTTTAATCAGACCTATCAAATTCTTATTTATATATTATATTCCTAGTAATTTATTTCCTCCTTGATAATGGCCAAAATTAGATGGAGATATCTAATGAAAAAGTTCATATTCCACTGTGTATAATACAGGGTGTACCTGGTTTTCAATCTAGAATTACAAACATATCGAAGAAAACTCTTCACTTTATATCAATTTAATATAAATCCTTACGGCTAGCCCTAGAAAGAGTTACAAAGACTTCCTAAGCATCAAACCGATCTTGTTTCATATCAGTCGGTTTGCCAGAAAAATATTACATTATCTGTACTGACTGCATACAGGCAACGATTCGCGGAAATTAATTCTTTTAACCTTATTCCTCTTAATCCATCTCCCATTTTATGGAGGCTGATGAGGAACTCGATACTTTAGTCGCTCGCGGACATAGATTAGGGGCGGACCATTTGACTTTTGAGGGGGGAGGGGAGGTGGAAGATTCAGTCTGTGCAAGAATTTTTTTCCGTCCAGGCGAACAAGACAGATATTTTTTCCTGTAAAAGTGCAGCGCAAGATATTTTTTTCCCAATATATTTGGCGGCAGGATATTTTTTTGCCTCTCATAATAACGGCTTACAGTAACTTAAGGCTTTCATATAGCTATCATCAGAGACATAGCAGGGGTTTTCGGTCAGAGGAGGCCGAGAACTGAATCCCAAGAGGGGCCAAGAAATTTTCACTGTGCTTTATTTTATATGGTTATGTCTTAATGTTCCCCACACTAAAGCGTGCAAGTTTACTTACAAAGAATGTATAACTGCACCAAAACCTAAAACATGCAGGGATAGAGTAAAGTACTCGAAAATGGGGGAGGGTACAGTATATGAATGACCTGTAACCTTGGGGGTTCGGGGGCATGCTCCCCCGAGAAAATTTTAAAATTTGAACCTCGGAAATGCTATTTCCTGCGTTTTCAGCCATGGATTCGTCCACGACAACTTTGCTGTACTAAGCCTAAGGAACATACACTGTCCCTTATTTTAAACAAGGGAAAATCACAAAATGAGCTTTGATTAATATGTAATAAAACAAGATTTCAATAATGCAATTTTTAACTTCCCTCCGAAACAACAATGTTCCACCAAATATAGCTCTGTAGCTTTTCAATCGTTCATACAGATAGCTTGTCAGGGATCGGGTTGCATCCTCTTCAGAAATTTTTTTAAAATCTAGACTCTCTAAACTGGCATTTCGCATTAAAATCATCGTATATACAATACGTTCAACTTGCATCCAGTAGATGGGTCTTTGAAGCTTTAATAGTTTAGAGCTATGTTATCAAAAAACGCACACAGACTCAACTATCCAAAAAGACTTTTTCTACCATGCATATTAGATATGTATAAATAACTTATAAACTTGTACATAATTATCTTAAGCCCAACAACTTTGGGGGGCAACAATTTTGCCAGGGAACACCACTGGCTATTGTATGTCAGAGGCTCCAAAGGCGGTAGAATCCCTGTGATGTTATCCACTGTTCACCCTGTGTTCTTTTAAGCAAATGTGTCTGCTCAAAAATGCAAAATCTTGCAAGCCTGTGGACTCAATACTGAAGTGAAAAGCATCAGTAGAGCTACATGTAGAAAATTTTTTTTGAGCGCTCTCTTTTGCATGATATTTTTTTTTCTCGATTGTATGCTGCATGATTTTTTTTTTCTTTCTCCTTGGGTTATATATACCAACAATATATACCAACCCCGTAAAGATTTCGATATTGACAACAGAAATGGGCATGACGTGACAGCAAAACGAAAGGTCCTTAACACCCTGCGTGCGTGCATGAAATTAAATTATATTACGAAGTGATCAGCCTAAGGCATCGGAGCAAAGGACTACTTATATATATATTAATATATATATAAGTATATATATATATATATGTATATATGACAAACACTATTCTAGTATAGAAGGCTCGTAAAGCAAATATGTGCCGTACTCTTCACAATGTTACTCTTCGCAATTTGACTCAGAGATGAATTAAAGAATTTGATTTCTGATTTCATACGTGTTTGAGTTAAGATAGATATACTGGTTTAATGTACACATTAGAAATATACTTTTACAAATTTTAGCTATGCATTCTATTTTCTATTTCCGATTATTCAAGATAAGCCATAGCCTACTTCACATATATATTCGCTTTCTATAATTACGCTAATGTCCAAGAATCCAATATACCTAAAAACGGTCGGTATAGCTACCAAAGATAAGAAGACCAATCAAACCAAAACTGAAATTGTATCAGTGAAGTTGATACAGAATGCCCATTTGCATCGATCGTTCATGCAAATGCGGGGGTAACATTGTAATATTAATAGTTTTTTTAATTACCGGCGTAATATTGGGCCGGGAGAATAAGTTCATTTTTATTCACATGTTCTGCGCGTCAGCCGCCACGGATATAAATGTCGTAAAAATAGTTTACGATGCCGACAATGCTTATTCGGTTTAATTATTTCAAAGCCGCCAATACGAATTACATGTCCTAAAGTATAGATTTTAAATGCATCGAACTTTACATGTTTTAATTTTTGCATCACAAATGTTTACAAAAACTGTAAGAATAACTGCATGAAATTAAGGTAAATTTATCAGCTTTTTACTCAAATTTTTCTTTTCTATATGCTTTACTTATAAAATGAATGAACGTCACTATTACTTTGGCAATCTTCTTTGAGACTCTTTGCCGCTTTTTAAACTGACATCATTAATATAATAGTTTTTTAGTTAATATATATAGCTCTTTGCATCATATTTTATAATTACAATATAATTGCAAATTTAAAAATTTAAAATTGTTCACAAGCAGAACAATTTCAGCTGTCCTTGTACCACGCAAATTCAATATTCTCAAAATCGGAAACGGCGTGTCGATGTTTCTAATATTTAATGCACATGCATGTATTTTTAATATGGGTGAATATAAATAAAACTGATTAATACAAGATACCTGATACCTGAAACACTGTTTTCTTTACATATCAGGCAATCGAATAAAGTATATACGACAGTACTTTGCTGTGCCAGGTCGTCAGAATTTTATACCTACTGAGTACTGTTTCGATCTTCCTGACGAATTTCACTCGAAACATCAAGGTGTTATTAACATTTTTTCGGGCAAGGGTGCATCGATTTAGCCAAATTGACTTTCACTCACTCACTCACTCACTCACTCACTCACTCACTCACTCACTCACTCACTCACTCACTCACTCACTCACTAACTCGATTTTAACAGCTTACTACTGAACAAGTCTGTATTTGTATACTTCATAGAAGGACCTCAGAAGGTTCATGCCATGATTGTGAAACATTTTTCATTCATTAGCCCAAACGTATGCGCACAGTTCCGCACTTCAACAGTGCTCCTATTCATGCAGTTCAGTTTCGGCCTGTCACTGATTGACCTGTATGACTGGAACTATATACATTTCACACAATTTCCGCGCAACTTCTCGTCGGCCCTGGGTACGAAATTTACATCTTCGCTTTCAACACTGATTCATCGAAATTATTTTACATTTATTATTATTATTATTATTATTATTATTATTATTATTATTATTATTATTATTATTATTATTATTATTATTATTATTATTATTATTATTATTATTATTATTATTATTATTATTATTATTATTATTGGTAAAACAAAAATTGAATCTTCACGGCGGACTATATTTTTCATAACTGACATTCATTTTCCCAGCATTTTTGACATTTTTTCCCAGCATTGGTCAGACGATTTACTGATATGTGGTGAACTGATTATCGTCTCAGCCTTTTAATTGGCTGGAATTTTCGTGCTAATATAATTGTAAACATGGCGCCCGGTTATGGTGAAATCACCGAAATGAACATGTCGAACATCGAAAATGTCGAACATCGTGAGCAGTGTTGGTACAACTTCCTCACTAGTAGATTAAGAAATCTCTGATCCATCTATTGTAAGACGACTTGGTAATCTGACGATGGATGTATATGAGTGAACTCATGCATACAAATGTATAGAGTCGCTTTTCACAAGTAAACAATTCTCAGTCTTTTGCGTGTCATTCTTTCGATCACATTTTCCAGGAGCCGGTTGTATAAAACTCTTAATCACTATTTTGTAGTTAAATAGTGATTAGCGAGCTTAAGATGCACCAAATCTACGACGCGAACGCCAAGAAAATCTGTAACTATTCCTACAGTTTCACTACACGGATAAAAATTATGGCCTCCAGTTGGTAAACAAAGTCAGAGACACAAGTGAAGCGAAATAAAACTGGATTCCAAACATTAACAACAATTTTCATGTCACGTCCGCGTCGTAGATTTGATGCATCTTAAGCTCGCTATTAACTCACAAATACGCGCTTCTTATTGGATGACGTTTCCACTAACCATAGTTAACTTTAATCACTTTTTTATATAACTGGCCCCAGGAGGAGAAAAATCGCCGACAGAATTGCTAGTGTGAACCAGGCTTAAGATAATTTTCTTGATGACGGTTGATATATAATTAAAAGTTGATACAATAGAGTCGACACAAGAGTCTTTTCTCCTTAAGCTAATGTAATCTTAAAACTAAAACGTCCGAAAGTCTTTTCGGGAAAATATTCGCTTAATTGGGACTGATAGTGCATGTCCACTGTAACTCCTTGGTACAGATAATATTGTTATATAGCTATAGTACTTAAACTAAACGTGATTGACTGATTTGTGGTCACGTGGATTTAGATAAACGCAATGTATCCCGCCAGGCAACAAGTTAAAAATTGTTGCCCGCTTCGACCAGCTACATACATAAATGTTCAAAATGGAGTCAAAAGTGTAAAAAGGACTTTTCCAGTTTACGAAAAGAATACAAATCCAAGAGAGAAGAGAAAACTCAACAGGCAGCAGGAAATGCTGCTGAACCGCCTTTTAGTTAGTTCAGATTGATTGTTAGTTCAGATGTTAGATTCAATTACATTACAATTGGCACTTATATCCATGATACAAATTAGGAAGGAATACCAATTTCTAACTCCAGACCGTCTCAGTTGAGATCAAACAAAATATAAACACACCAAATTTAGTACTTTGTTATCCGTTATGACGAATCACTTTTTTCTAACGAAGAAAGTACTAATAACCTTTATTATATTCATTTTGAAATCAATTATGTTTCCCGCATGCAATCTGATTGGCTCTTATATAGCAGTATGATTTCAGCACGAATCGCACTCAGAGGAGTGCGATTCATGCTGAAATCGCATTCTTCTTTCAACCAATCATATTAGATGACTGACCTCAGGCGGTTAAAATCGTATCTCCCACTATCAGTCCTTATCATCACTTATAAGTCGTTGATCCAACTACATTTTGATTAATGCAGTAGCGTCTGGGGTAATTTAGGGAAGGTCTTGGGATGCAAGCTTCAAGAACAGAGCTGCACGGATTGTTACGGGGTTCGACTACAACTGATGTTCGTTCAGTCCAGATTTTGGACTCACTAAACTGGGATAACCTAGAGAAAGGACATTCTCAGCAATTTGGGGTCTTAATGTGTAAAACAATCAACAAAATGGTAAGCAAGCAAATTCACACCAAGCAAATTCACACCAACTAATGTGATACACAGCCACAATCTTCATCACACTGCATGATTCTAAGCTTTTTGTCCCAAGACCTTTGACTGAGTCTCTTAAGAAAAGTTTCACTAATAGAAGAACCGTCGTGTGGAATAGCCTACCTGTCGAAGCTGTAAATGCTACATCTGTATAGTTAATTTCAAAAATATTACTAGACAAACCTAATTTTCTTCTACTATCCTTTAGTACTGCTAGTACTGTGAGTTTAGTACTGTGAGTACCTTTAGTACTTGTAATTGTAATTTGTAATTGTAATTCGTAATTGTAATAGTATTATGTAGATATTTTTAATGTACACGGCTCCATGGAAGAGCACATTTTGTGAAATGGACTCCGTGTGTAAATAAAGTTTTAATAATAATAATAATAATAATAATAATAATAATAACCATATTTAATCATAGGATTAAACAGCCAATCAATTTTTAAAAAATATGATATAACAAATGAGCTGAAAACAAAGATTTTACATATGTTATGATTACTCTTGACTGCTTAATTAACAATTTTTGCACATAAAAAAACAAAGAATATGGATAGCTAAGCTATCAAAAAATTTCAAAAATATTTTCACAAATAGTAACAGGCAAATTGAGAGCAAAATCTTCTATCAAACATGGTCAAAATGCCAACAAAAGCAAATTTAAAGTGTCAGCCAAACTGCACCAAAACTCTATCAAATCACTCGTAAACCTGTAATATGTTGAAACTCACCTGTGTTGTCTCTTATTCTTTATGAATGTCTTCATTTCTTTAACATTTTTGCAACGTATAAAATACAATTGGACAAAACTAAAAGTTCATCATGTTCGCTTATTGTTGCTATGCTACAGCACTCAGGGAGGTATGGAGGTGTCTCTTTTGCAAACAAAACGTTTCCAGTAGACAAAAATGTTGAGATTTCAAAACGAATATAATAAAGTACAAATTGAACTTGTGATTGCAAATCGCAAGTGTTTAAATCGCGCAATTTAATAATTCATGAGCACATTAGCCAACCATATTGCTTTATTTTACTCACATGATAATTAACGATTATTCACCGAATTGGAGGTGAATAGTTCAGCAGGGATATTCACCGAAACTTGAAGCGCTGAGGTGGATATCATTGCTCTATTCACCGAACTGAGGTGAATAATTTTTTTTTGCATCTACCATAACAAAACAAAAAATACCAAAAAACAACGAAAATGTTTAAAACAATCCGTACTTGAGCTCCCGTAATGCAAAAGTTGTAAACAAAATATATAGTATTTACACGCTTTCAGTAATTTTATTCATTAGAAATAGCTTTAAAAAATACCTTTGCACACTTCTAAGCAAACCTTTGTGACCGGCTTTCTTTGTGTTTGGCGAAACCGAAGCTTTGTTTAGTACAAAATTTTGCTCATCTGTATAAATCGGAACGAAACGGGACGCCGCCATTTTGTTTTTGTCCGGAGGTAAATAATGCAAGCTTCCGGAGCTGAGAAACCAATCAAATTGCGCGAAAAGCACTATCAACCTCCAGCGTATATGCTAATGCTGGATACCTGGTGAAGTATGCCGATCCAGTCCTAGGACTGGATCAAAATTAATTCAGTCCTTGGACTCGATCAAAATTAATTCACCTCGCTTTATAAGTAGTGATTTATAGGTATGAGATGTCATCTCAAAATCTCAAATCATCCAATTCGGACAGGACTAGATTTCAAGTCTTCGCATGTTTGATCTAGTCCTCCGCTTCGCCTCGGACTTGAAATCTAGTCCAGTCCTCATAGTCGGATTTGAAATACTACTTGTCGTATATAAGACTGATCGATGAAATTTCTTATTTGCATGTGGAAACGTTCACGAACGAGAAAGTGTTAAGAGATCCTATTAATATTAGTTGTGAATGATAAAAATTTTAAAACTTCTTCCCACATTGCATCATGTATTGTAACATATGATAAGTTGCTATGTCTATGTATAGCTTTCGAAAAAAGTACATTAAAATTTCATGAAGTTTAATATGTATCCGTCCGAAACTCGAAAGCCTGCAAAAATAAATTTACATCTTTATTTTTGTAGTCAAATTAAAGGGAGATTAATTTTTTATGTTCACACTAAGCATGCATGACAAATTCCTCAGCCAATTAAACCGATCGGATAACAAAGTATATATAGATGTTTCCGTGGTCTATAAGTGGAAGGTTTGAGAGCTGTCATTTCGTTTCAGAAATTTATCAAGCGCTTGGGATAGAGACAATATATAGAAAGGGAATATAGACTAGTTAGGCTAAGCAATTCAAAATAGTGACTCAAAATCGATATATCGCTTTTGTAAACGAAAATACGATTCAGTCATGTATACATAATGATACAAGGAGGTACTATACACAATATTGTTTTGAAAAATAATGAAAACGAAACACATCTGCACGATCTTATTTTTATTTGTTATTGATTTACTTTTGGGAATACAGAAAAATTTAGAAAGTCTCATTATTTATTTTATTAACATAATTTAACTAATGTTTCCAATATACTTCGGGCATAATAGAGCAAGTGAAGATTGTGTGCCCACAAAACAAAATGTGCCCTAAAGAATGTCAGCTTTCGGCCCTTTGCATGCTTGTCATGGTTGTCAAACTTAACAAGGTTTTTTTAACTTAAAAGAAGAGTAAAAATGAACTTCAAAAGTACGACTTCCAGATAAGAGAAATATTTCTGCCCATGTGAAGTTTTCCTTTATCACAAACGATGAAAGAAGAATACTTCTGCTGTTCTACAAATTAGTAATTCAAATTGACTTTGTATCCATTGTAGTTGATATTTTGCCAAATCAAAAATTAATTAGTTACGACCCATTAGCTATATATGTCGAAAATCAATTTAATTTCAATTACAAGTCAAAAATGAGTTAAAAGCGCTGAGCATCTTCTAATAGATCTCCGTTGACAAAAGAAATTACTAATTTAAATTTGCCTCTATGTGCGTATTTTGAATTCCCCACACACGAGTATACATTTATATATATATAGCCATACATGTATGCATGGTGTTCACTGGGCGTTTGAGGGAATTTTTGTCTTTACACTGAACGACGACATTTGTAAGGAGCGGAACTTCTCGTTAGACCGTTCAGAAATCACAGAAACCTTTTACAAGTAAGCTGATCATTGAAATCTTAGTACAATATAGTTTTTACAATATTACAATATTACAATATTACACGATAATCCTATTTTCCAGATCAACTCAATTTGAAGCAAAGTAAACAAAACTCAGTTTTGAGGCTATTGTTTCCATGAACAGTTGTGGACAAGATATATTAATTTGAAATTTAGACATCTTTATATATCGTATACCTGCCGTTAGTTTATCACTGCTTTCAATGCAGTATATAGAGCAGCTTTCTAAAAAAGGATTGGAATATCTACAATATTTGGCCTTGTTTTGTTTCAAGCGCAGTTCTCATTTTATATTATTGAAGATATATAGTTTAGTTTCATAGTTTATAACTAAGCCATATACATATACAAGAATAAAATGTTCATAGCATAGAGTATAATATGATGAATATTTCGATAATCCTGTTTAGATAAATCAATTTCCATCCTGACAACTAATTGCATTCCTAACTCTATATGTTCCGACAATCCAGTATAGTGTCAGTAATCCATCAGAGGTGATGATTGCATGTAAGACTGTAGGGATTTTTTTTTCGAACGCAAATCTATATGTACAATTGTAGACCTAATTAGGAGCAAGTTGCGAAAAATGCAAGTCCATATACCCTTTGGCAGGAATAGCGAAACTCGGAGCCTAGCGATGCCGGTGGAGTGCTCTATCCAACTTAGCTACAAAGTCCTGTTGCTGATCTGATTATAATCACAAATTTATGTAACCTGCCTTGCAGCCTATAGCTATATGGGTAAATATCGAGTTTTTGTGGGCATTTCACTCGATGGAGGTTTTTGCAGATGGAATTTTCGATCGCAAATTTCATTTTTAGACCAAACGAAGAGCAGTTGCATGTGAAATTTCATGTATATTGAAAAAATCCATCTATTGTAGCAAATTATAAAATTCAATGTATATTGATTGATATTACCAACCAACGATAAAGTAGAAGAATCAGTCATCTAGCAAAAACTGAATTTTTGAAAATGCTACGAAAGCCGCCGGTATATATAGAACTATATATAGCTGGCATCGATTCATGTTGGATTATACAATTGATATAACAGGATGTAACATCTCAGAAGAATCGATTTCTTTTCATGATATATATAGTCTACCATACAATAATCATAAAAAGAAAATTTTAGTTCATGAATGGAAATATTGTTTTCAAAAATACCTGCATGGGTATACAAGGAAGTTGAACGTATTAGTTAAACTTCCTGGTTTTGGGCAAAACTGCGTCACTGTCCGTTATCAGCAAGACAGTCGATCGATGTATAATTGATTATTTCTTATCGGATTTATCTTCAGCAGGCAGCAGCTGAGCCTGAATAGATATTATAATGAATACGCTAATTATACTGTTGGCAATAACCTGGCATGCATGTATTCTCCTCAATAACGGTCTTTAACAGGCAAAAGACCAAACAAAATTTGTTAGGCTACTTATTAGGAAAATGTTAGACTTACCAATGCATGACTGTATCTGCCGATCTCCGCGATCATGCATCTATTGTGAATGGCGCCAGAATGTCTTATACTGCAATACAAACTATAGCTAATAATTTGAATAAAGAGTCTGATAGATAGCTATATTTAATGCATAAATGAGATGCCAAATGATATTGTGACATAGATTAATGATTATAGTAATGTAACTGTATCGTTCTACTTTCAATATCTTTTCTTTCTGATCCTTAATATTAATAATTATAACATAGTCATATATAGTCATAATTTATAGTCATTATTATATGGTATAATAAGCTGGTGATGTCATGTAAGCTCGTCTTGCTAATGGTTGTAAAATATATATATTTACCTATAAAAATGTAAACATTTAAAGCCATGTTGCACGGTGCAATTTTTCTTGCAACTTGAGAGATGTTAATTAGTGAAATCAGTGAAGAATTTCGATATGTTGAGAAAACATCAGCGGAGTGTAATGAAGACTCGTATTTGGCAATTTTACATCTCTCAAGAGTAGAATTGCATTGCAAGTTGCAAGAAAATTGCACCGTGTAACATGCATGGCCTTTACACGCCAAGGTTTTGGTGATGACATGCTATAACAAAATATAGCACCGTCGGCCTCATTAAAACAAGAAAACTACCGGAAATTGCTGGGAAAATAACAATATATAAATGCATGAGTTATATTTTGTGACTTTATCTATATCACAAATGAAATGAATGATGAAAACGTGAAAAAGGAAAACAAACAAGTATAGGAAAACATGAAAAACATAAAAACATAGAAATGAGAAAAAAAAATCAAAACATGTCAGCTAACTATCATTAATATTCCCTGCCGATAGGCGGATTCATTTTGCCTCAGTAAGAATCATGCGTATTTTCTACTGAAGCGTTCTCCAGGACGGAACACAGCCTATTTCGTGTCACGGATTCATCTTTTCCCACCAGAACAGTAAATTAACATATAAGACTATCACTTGGCAATGCTACATCTTAAAGTTATTTAGCCGTCTATAATTAAAGCTAATTCGGGGGCATGCATGCGGGCCCGTTCTTATGAGCCGGGCCGGCCCGGTAAACCGTGCTGTCTCGCAAGTGCATGGCAAGATATCGCCTCGTATATTGTTTTCGTATGTTTTCGAGATTTGATTCACATGGAAACCGGGCGGGCCCAGTTTGCTGGCTTCCCGCAAAAGCGAGGCCAAGTTTGTCTTACCGAATTCGTCTGAAATAAATGCACTTAGCGCGCCAGTCCGGTAAGTTTTTGAATCTAGCGTTTTTATTGAAAATTTATCAGACAAAAGCGAAGGCGAAAGGTTTGGAGGGTGTTCCAATTATCAGAGCAACAGTCACCGCCCATTTCCTCGTTATGATAGGTAGAGCCAGTTATATCTTCTGAAGAGAAACCGATTATTTTCATGCACAATATAGTAAGACCGACCGATGTTTACATGCACTTTATATATACCTGAGGGATTGTATATTACAGCACTACTATATACCGCAGCCGGATTGCTTGGCATTTAGGTACGCACTGCATGCACAAAGCGCAGTAAAATGCAGGGTTTATACCAAACGTTTACGTGTCTATATATACTGCTGTCGATAATTATATGCTGGCGCAAAAATGGTTTCAATCAAATATTAAGCGTAAATATTTCGTAAAGTTTTAATTTTGGTATAACATTTAGTTTTCGTCATGTAAAAGATTATTTTTTTCTTGGAAGATACAGCCATGTAAAATCAACAGATTATTTTCGACCTTTTCAACGTGCCTCGAAACCGTATCTTCACTTGAAAACAACTTGAAAAGGCTATAATTGTAGGCAGGACGCGTGGTGAGACAATATAGCATTCGACGTGATGCTGTTCAAACTTTGGGTGGCGTCCATTACCTTTACTTAACTTTTGTGTCTCACAGCGAGGGGTTGGTGGGCGAAAGTGGGAAGGAGGGGCAACTGCAAGCGTCATTGAGCTTATGATAGTCCAAGCATTAAAAACCGAAAGAACTCAGTTCAATGCGCTTTTAACTCAGCTGTAAACACCAGCTGTTACAAACCCACACTTTGGCCTTAGTGGATTTCAGTATTCAAATGTTATTAAGGGACCGGTGGTTGTCACAATTCTATTTGCCTTCAAATACAAGATTATATCCATGCATGTTATATTTGTAATGAAAAGAATTCACATTATCGTATTTTCGCTCTCATATATGACCTACAATTGCTATAAACCTAACCGATTATGACGCTAGGGCGGTACATTTTGAATCGACATATATACAAGGCAAATATAACTGAAAGGAGCAGCTAATTACTTGATATTGCTATTATTGGCTATATAAATATGTTATTAGCCTAACTAAAATTAGGCACATTTGTAACGACCCGGTTTCACTGATAGCATTTTCAATTAGATCGACCTATGCTTTTTCTGTCATTCAAAACTCTGTGCGCCATTATCTCTAATATTATGTTGATTTAACAAAAACTATTGCCTGCAAAGTTTTTCATTCGATTGTCTTATCGGAAACAGCCATTGCTCTTATTATACTTGAAATTATTTATCAACTTGTTTTTCGATCTTACTGCACAAATTAGTTTGAGCTAATTATAGTCTATAGATAGTCACATATATACACTTAATAATTGGGCAAAAATAATATGTTCAATATACATGTAAAGCATGATCATGCAATATTAATACGTTCTATAGTGCGTCGGTTGTGTAAACAAATTCAGAGCATTTAGAATTATTTACTTTGAAATCAAAGAAACGCATGCAGGGGTTTGGTATAAAACAAAAGGCACAAAAGGGGGTTATATTTAACACAATCCACTGTTATATTGCATGTAGTCACCGTAATCTAGAGATAAATCTAGTTTAAAATCTATATTTATAATGTATAATGTTACTTAAAACTATATATAGTGCATGTGATAAATTTTGAGTTATCTTTGCTAGTTTTTTTGAAAATTACACAAAGATATAATACGGCAATGTTCAATCATTCATTGGATGGATTGTCTGTTTTGATCGATCGTTTTGACATGTTTGGACTCCCACACATAACGTACGGTGTAAATACAAATGGTAGTTTTGAAATTTCCATATTAACGGTTCGCCAATTGAAGTCCTACGCAGGGAAAGAACTCTACCAACAAATACCTGGATTTATTTAGGAAATTTATGTAAGGCAATTATACAAACTTTGGATTAACAAAAACAAATAACAGGTTAGTGTTAATTACTTTAATCCCTCTTACTAATCCCTCTTTTAATGAAAAAATCAACAATCAACGAACATTTGATCGAATAATTCACGCTGTGATTGTTAATTCTGGATTTGAGTACAAAATATAGTATAAAATTTTGTGGAAAGCTTTCCTATATTTTATTTCAACTTAAATTTCGGGCATTAGAAATTTCAAAGCAGTGCATGCAGTCGATGTTGCATCCACTAATCGTTTCACGACTGGCAATGCACTTCATGATAACTTAATTGCGCTCAATATATCATTTTAATTAACGGATCTTAGACAATTGGCTAGAATCTTGTTGCACATATCAGAATTGCCCATTGAAATGAAGTGCTAATACTTATATGTCTTAAACAAATTGCTGAACGTTTATATAGTCACTTAGATTGTGAACGTTATTCTATTAGGTGTTTAGATATTACGAGAGATTTGCTGAATCATAATATCGACAGTCGTTATACTTGGATTATCTGCTTAAAGGGAAATTATAGCAATAAAAGTTAAGTTTCTCCCATTTGGAAGAATGATTCAGTATAGTTCAAAACCTTTTTACATATTTTCTGTATCGTTGTTGGTATAAAAGATATCACCCTTTATTTCAAACAAAATCATTGTGCATTCTGCCATCTCGGATATGCATATCCATCGTCGGATATGCGTGACGTCACAATCAGGGTAACATTAGTTATATCGTTAGTAATTCTCAAGCCATTTGAATAATAAATCCTATTGCTTAGTCTGAAATTAAAGCACAAAGCTATGTATAAACTTTCCACTGATAATTTTTTATTTTTAAAATTTCTGCCCTGGTTTTGACCTCATTTAATTAGATCTAATTATCTGAATTATAAAACAGGACGGCGGATGGCAGGGTATTTCGGCTTCAAATATTTCAAAAACTAAGATAGATTTGGAGAGATTTTGAATGGATTTGTAAATAATCTTAACATTCTTTCAAATTAGGCAAACATGCGTTTTGTTGCAAACTTCCTTTAAACTTGCATGTGTATTTGTCAGATATGTTTCAATCAACAAAATTTGAGGGTTGAATTTGTCTGTTTATTTGAAAAGTATAAGGCTTCTAACCAGCTATGTAGTGCAGCAAAGCTGGGGATATGCTTACCCAAGCACGCAATAAATGACATCCTTAACGCCCATGCAAATTGATTACTCATTCAGGACATCAACTAACATCCGGTGAAATTAATTGTCCTGGAAACAACATACATTAAATATGTAAGGACTGGGAACTAATGAGTAATGACTGGAACATGCGCACTACGACGGTATTGTGTTGGGCTTGTTGTATTGCGTGAGTTTACAAATATTTGGGTTAATATTGTTGTCGAATACTTAAAATTAAATTATTCATATATTCAACCGTTAAAAATTTCGCATTCATATAAAACAAGGTTTTGTTCCAAGATATCGTGCATGCGAATGGTACACTGGAGTAATGTACGTTTATCAATTAGGTCTTGCGCGATTGAAACACTTCAGATAAACATTAAAACGACATTCCTTCCAAACTGTTATTACTTAGAACTGGTATTATCCAGAAATTTCCGTGGTTCGTTTAAATTATTTGCAGATTTATGTATTTAAGTGCCTATTTATGCCGACATGTGATCATGCATATACATTCATATATTAATTAACCATGAAGTTCATGCAGGATTGCAAGAAGTAAAGATATATTCCCCTTTTTGATTTTAAATATGGAATTTGATAAATTTATTACAATTTTCATTAAAACTCAAGAAGCGTTAGTACGCACATCAGCTTTTTATCGTAGAATAAATTATTTTAACAAAACACAGTAGACTTATTAAATTAGAGCACCATGCAATAGCCTCGTTATTCTGTTGTAGTATACCAAGCAGGCATGAATATAACATCCTCCTGCACGAATATGTTTCTTTCGGATCTTGATCCCAATGACAAGCTTATCCTTAAACCAATTGGGCACAAAACATGAAGAAATAACGACATGAAAACGAGGCCAATGGGGAAGAACAATGAACAGTACAGTCTATACTTCAACTGTAACCTGACCGTTTCAAGAACGTTTTCAGCATGACTGTCAGTTTATTTTGCTTCGCCGATTAATAAGATGTACCATCATATATTCATGATGGTAAAAAGGGTAAACATTTGTTCAGCGATTTAGACTTGGAATGGAATCGAATGCCGGCGAAGAAAAATGTGGATATTATATAGGAATATGCATGACAAACACAGAAATAATAGTGCACGCCTTTATCTTGATTTAAAGTATATTAAGGTATGTTTGCACGCTTATCGTGTACGATTCGTATTCTGGGTATGAAAATTACTGCTGACGCTACAATTCCTCTTCGTCTAATTTACAGCAATATTTGATGCAACTAATTTACGTGTGCTTATTCGATTACATACACCAGAATGCGAATCGTGCACGACAAATCGCAGCGTATAAACGTACCCTTAAGGCCCATTTGCACTTGCAATACGAGCGAATTAGTTAAGCCAGTTTTCCACTTCAATCGTACCGAAACGTAGCGTATTTCTTTTTACCTGACCACTAGAGTAGAACTAATGACTTCGACACAAAAGAAACTGCCACGGTACGTTACGATTGAAGTGGAAAACTGGCTTTAGGAATGTTTAGATGAGAGTATATATAGTCAGAGCATTTATAACTTATTTATTCGTTCACATGCATCAGAAAAAAATTGCACTAGAAATCGCAACAAAAGTATAAACGAGCCTTTAGAACCCAAAATATGTCAGCAGTGATGGTATACAGTAGGCTTTGGGTGCTGCAAATGCCGCTACATGAATATCGAGAAAATAAGAACTCTACGCGCATAACGCTTTGTCGATGGAAAAAAAAACTCAAATGTGCATGTATGAACATTTGATTACGTCTATGGCTTCTAATTAAAAATCCAAAGCCTGTTTGAAGATGTTTTAACAGCCTCCTACTGACTATAAGTACAACGTTCCCAGCATGATATTGTATTTTGACTAAAAATGTAGCGTATGATGTAGGTGCGGGTGTGGGAGAGAAACTTTCGAATTTTTCACTATTTTTCGAGCCATTCCAAACTCCAACGCATCATCCTACGTGTATTGATATATATAGTTTTGCTATTCAACTGCTGGATATTCACGCACACCTGTATGGATTATTTTACGCCTTCACGTCTTCTATTTTACTCACTGTGTTGCCCAATTCTGTACTGCATGGATGATCATGATTTTATACTTACGTTGAAGCACAAACAAATAGAAAATTAGCATGAATTTGTTCCATTCTCTTGTGAAGGAACCAAACTGATCGATAGTATAACGCGTATATAAACTACAGGACGTTATATGACCTAATTGATGATTATATTTTAGATTGAGTACTCTTAAAAATGAAATGGATGTTTTTAAAAAGATAGCAGCTTACAAGAGCAACGAAAGACATTTAGATTCATTATAAACTCCTTATCAGTACAAAATCTTGAGACTCGAATCTCAATCTTGCAGCTCGAGCTCTTTTCTGTTGTAAAGCCAGATACCAAAACGTGGGGTGAATAAGATGCGTAATTGGTTGGGTTACTGTGTCCAAAAACAAAATTTGTCACTATTGTTATACCAATCTTAGTTCATGATTCAGTACGGTGGTGGATAAATCGTGTGTTTACCCTGAACTGGTAGTTCGGGCAACTACGCCAATGGGACAATGTTGAATTTATTATGATAATGTCCCACATGCGTAAGAGTTGTCTTCGGAACAAAACCTCCACAGTCATGAACAAAATCCGTAATATTTACCTTCTTATGTTCAATCACAAGAACTATTGACTTATTTATTCACCAAATCAATTAGTTCCCGTGTGTGCTCGGTCAATTAGTCATTGTTACGGAACAGTTTAATGTTCGAAGTGTATTCGTTCATTTCAATCAGCTGATTTATGTAATATGAGACATGCTATCGCACGCTACACTGATTCAAGTGTATGAATGCAAAAAGCGCAGTCGAATGCCATTAAGGACCCAACGCTTTATACGTTTAGTGCCGTCATCATGGTTGATGTAAGGTTACAACGCAGCATGCACTTTATATACTCGAGGGATAACGTCATAGGCCAACGAGGTAGAGATACTCTATTACATGGACATTCTTGATCCCAAAGCTTTTCCATGATCATGTTGCTGCAGCGGAACACCATTTTTAGATGCCTTGATGTATCAAATTCTGAAACACTGAAACGAAATCCAGAAGCGTATGGAGGTGATCCCTCCCCCCGGAAGTTTGTCCGAATTTTTATGAATTTAACACATTTTGTGATAAAATTTGCCCGAATTATTTTTTCATTTTCCCCAGCATTTCCAGAATTTTCTTGATTTTCTATTATTCTTTTGCAGGGAGGGGGAAAATTGCCCCTTTGCCCTCCTGGTTGTACCTCTATATGTTCGTCCATAATTTCGCCCACAGTGGATAATTTTGGGATAGATAGCTTATGGTTTAATATAGTAAAACTCTTTTGTCCCAGCAAATAAACGAAGGTATCCTTATTTTCAATTATTAATTCAATGAATTCTTTTTCCAGATTGAAATAGCGACATGAAAACATCGCTTTTGCTGACGCTGGTTGTATGCCTGTGCGGCGTCGAAAGCACACAGCTGCGAGGGGGAAGAAATAAAATACCAAGTGATAACACCAACGACCAACTTCGTGGAGGTAGGGAAATACTTCTCAATGATCAACTACGTGGTGGAAGGGATACGATTGCAAAAGACCAGCTACGTGGAGGACGAGAAACCATTCCCAATGACCAATTAAAAGGTGGCAGAGATACCATATTTACTGATCAATTACGCGGTGGCCGAGATACGATTGCCATTGGTGAACAGTTACGTGGGGGCAGAGATAAAATTTCTAGCGACCAGCTGCGAGGAGGAAGAGATACCATTACCAACAACCAACTACGAGGGGGAAGAAATGTCATTACCAATGATCAGTTGCGAGGGGGACGTGATAACATTCTCAACGATCAACTACGCGGCGGACGAGAAGTTCTTAGTGACCAGTTGCGTGGTGGCAGAGAACTGAAATCGGAAGATCAGTTGCGAGGTGGTAGAGATACTATTACAAACGACCAGTTACGTGGTGGAAGAGATACTATTACTAACGACCAGTTACGTGGTGGAAGAGATACTATTACGAATGACCAACTGCGGGGCGGAAGAGAAATTACTGCAAAAGATCAACTACGTGGTGGAAGGGAAATTACTGCAAAAGATCAACTACGTGGTGGAAGGGAAATTACTGCAAAAGATCAACTACGTGGTGGAAGAGAAATCATTGCAAAAGATCAACTACGTGGTGGAAGAGAAATTACTGCAAAAGATCAACTACGTGGTGGAAGGGAAATTACTGCAAAAGATCAACTGCGGGGTGGAAGAGAAATCATTGCAAAAGATCAACTGCGTGGTGGAAGAGAAATCACTGCGAAAGATCAACTACGTGGTGGAAGGGAAATTACTGCGAAAGATCAACTGCGGGGTGGAAGAGAAATCACTGCAAAAGATCAACTACGTGGTGGAAGAGAAATTACTGCAAAAGATCAACTACGTGGTGGAAGGGAAATGATTGCAAAAGATCAACTGCGTGGTGGAAGAGAAATTACTGCAAAAGATCAACTACGTGGTGGAAGGGAAATTACTGCAAAAGATCAACTACGTGGTGGAAGAGAAATTACTGCAAAAGATCAACTACGTGGTGGAAGGGAAATGATTGCAAAAGATCAACTGCGTGGTGGAAGAGAAATTACTGCAAAAGATCAACTACGTGGTGGAAGGGAAATCACTGCAAAAGATCAACTACGTGGTGGAAGAGAAATTACTGCAAAAGATCAACTACGTGGTGGAAGAGAAATCACTGCAAAAGATCAACTACGTGGTGGAAGAGAAATTACTGCAAAAGATCAACTACGTGGTGGAAGAGGAATCATACGCAATAAACAGTTACGAGGTGGTCGTGCCACAATTTCCAAGATAGACAAGAATATCGACGGACAATAGTATGTAGGATGAGCGCTTTTATGTTTTAGATTCGAAATACAACCTCGCTAACAACAGGTTCATCACATAGCAAAAGACGAAAAAGCATTTAGGATAGATAAGTGAGAACGTAGAGAAAACGTCAAATAAATTGTATAATTAATTGATTAAAAAATAAGTATTGCGCAAATTGTATTTAAAAATGTATTAATATGCATGATTAATAAAATATACTTAAATGTGTATGCCAAGATAGAGCTTGAGTGAAATAGGCCTTCTGTAAGAATTCGTCAGAGGAGGGGCCATTAAGGAAAAAGAGCTTACTAGGGGGCATGTGGAACTAAAAAAGTAAGAACTTGTATAAGTGGGGTCTAGAGATCCACTTTCAGCATAATGTTCGATTCTTCAGCCTCTGGGGCCAAGTTTTTTGTATTTATAGTCGGAACTTTATATATTTTATCCGTAGACAAAGGTTTGGTCGTGGGAATGCTGAAATACTCTTGTTTTTAATTAATTAATTAATTAATTAATTAATTAATTGATTAATTAACTAAGTTATCTTACATTTTGGGCAGAATTAACCCTCACTGAGTGATAGAGAAACATAATTTACTGGATGGGCCAGTAGGTGCTTAGGAGGAGGGGGACTTGGCGACCAGTCGTAATACGTAGTAAGAGAGTTAAGAGGCTGTGATTGAGTGAGTACGAACAAAAACCAAAGAATTGTTCTCATGTTTAAGCTTTTCCATATATTGAACAGAATTTAATTTTTCTCAGATGACGATCCATTGGAACAGTCCTGAATCCTTTCAAAAATGCTACAGACTATGATTATGGGGACACTCAAACAATATGTACCCATCCCTGCAATAAGAACCCGTCTTCGCAATTATATATAACGCAGCTGTTGCATAGGTTTTTGTTTGAGCTTGAGCATGCAGCCGGAATATTAGGAAGATCAGGATTCCAGGAATAGAAATTGAGCGACCATGATGAAGCTGAAGTATTCCTGCGTTGAAAAAAACGGCTCGTGCAGCATTGAAGGTTTGAGAAGAGTGGCGGATATATAGACTGGGACGAAAATCTTTTTGTATGTTGTGTTTACCCCATGATTTGTTTATTATATTATACCATGAATGGATACCATAAGCCCTTGAAGTGGCCCTTGAACGATGTTGATAGGGGAAGTGATGGGATCAGGTTAACTCGTAGCCTACATGTACGGTATAGACCCCAGCAGAAAAGAAGGTGCACGGTATTGAATGTTGTAAAGTTATAGTTTCAAGATGATCGAGATGCTCGGTTCGGAACAACTTAAGGAACAACTTTACATTTTAACATACATCTTCCCAAGAAAAAATGCCTATTTTCTGATTTTTTGGCGATTTTGTGGACTTATCACATTGAATCCATTTTGTATATTCAGGTCAGTCCAAACACGGCGGTCATGTTGGAACTACATATAAACGAAAAATATTTGCATATTTTAATTATTTTTACGTTTTTAAACACTGTAAAAACTACCGAAATACCTTCTATGAGTCCTTAGATGTATAAAACAATGAAAAAGTACTTACTTTTAAAGTTTTTTAAAAGGGCTAACCTTGAAATAACCGGCTTTTCGTTGCAGAAATTCTCCCCGGCTCTCTGGTTATAATAATGCGATGGAGATGGTTAAAACGTTTATGGATAAACAGATTGACGTTTTACTATTGCAATAAAATATTAAAAGTTAAATATCTTGGCGAATATTTAACCGTTTTGAAAACCGCTTGCACACTAAAAAATAACCTAGATAAGGCCACTTGTTACTCTCTTGATCGACCATCGATCTGCGATTGGCATTCCCTCGAACAGCGCGAACAACTTATTGGAATCAATATTCCTGAAGGTGGCGTAACGCTCACTGGGTAGGGTTAGTTCAAAAACTAGTTAGGGGGCCCCATCAGCCACGGCCTATCGCCCAGAAAATTAGAAAATCAATTGGAAAATGAAAAATTAATAATGCTAAATAAGTCTGCAGCGATAACGATAGCTGATTTTTTTATTTCATCTCAAATAAAACAAAATTTATTCTTATTAGTTGTTACATGTGTTGGAGACTGTTATTGTCATAGACATGGAATTTTCCAGAACATTTTATAAATATTCAATATAAATATAATATCTCGATCAGTCAAACAATGACACAACCGAGGTTGACAATGACAACAATCAACAGTGGTCCCCACACTAAATATGCCTAAGGCTAAGGGCTCCCTCTCCCTCCGTTACGCCACTGATTCCTGATGAAGTTTATCCTTTATAAATAGATCATCCTGGATTCTCGACTATTATTCATCGTATCTGAGAACAAATTCTCACATGAAATGACACTCCTCTCATAATATTAATATTAAGATATTAATGTTTAGTCATGCAGAGAAACTAATGACAGAATGAATGAAATTTGTTTCAATAAATAAAAGTTTTCGACGTAGAGTGAGGACTTTTATTGGTAAGAACAGTATAAAGATTGCATATTATTATATGGACAATGGTGTTTTACTGGAAACCACAACACTCGTAGAACTCATACGTCACTACATCCGGGACCAGGTGCGCGTATTTTCCGTATTTCACCCCTGCGAGCGGCAGGTACAAAACGCAGGTTGCAGGTTGCAGGTTGGAATTTTGCAGGTTGGGGATTTTGCAGGTTGGAATTTTGCAGGTGGCCAGGAACTTTGCAGGTTGATAATGCAACAGTTAAAATTACACCACTTTTTTAGTATTCTAGTATAATTTAGTTGTGCATTTATTGCAGTCTGACTCCTTGTCGGCGCCTCTGCTCTAAGGCTAGTGGCCAACACCCCCGTGAAAACATTCAAAATGACCAGATTGGCTTGGACCTACAAGAAGACGAATGCAGGGGCGTAGGAACCGGGGGGCCAGGGGGGGCCAGGCCCCCCAAGTTTTGCCAAGTGCCCTTTTTCCGGGAGCATAGTGCCCTTTTTTGCGTTAAAAATGTTTTAAGGATTGCCTTTTTTGCCCAAAGCGCACTTTTCGAAACTTGAATTTATGTTATTTTCCGGAATGTCCGAAAAAATTTTTTGTATTTCCGGAAAATTTTTTTCATACATTCGTCCCCCTGAAGATCCAAGCCAATCTGGTCATTTTGAATGTTTTCACAAGGGTGATGAGCAGAGGCTAGAAACATGGTAGCAGGATAGGCTGATATCAAAAGCGGCGACAAGGAGTCAGACTGCAATAAGTACACAATAAAATTATACTAGAATACTTTATAGTAGTGTAATTTTCAGTTTGCATCATCAACCTGCAAAATTCCTGTCAACCTGCAAAATTCCAACCTGCAAAGTTCTTGGCAACCTACAAAATTCCAACCTGCAAAATTCCCAACCTGCAAAATTCCAACCTGCAAAATTCCCAACCTGCAAAATTTCAACCTGCAACCTGCAACCTGCGTTTTGTACCTGCCGTCATTATACTGGTCTTTCGCATGCTTATTTACATGTCGTCTTTGTGTGTATTTTTGTCACTCTGACTGCCAGTATGGAATGTAACATG